CGTTTTTATGGGGTGAAAACAGCCCGATAACTATTCTTCATTTAATTTAAGATTACCTTGAGTTGTTGTATTGATAAAAGTGGGAAGAGAGCTATTCGCCTGTATTTCTACCATTAATTTCTTGACTTTAATGTAGCCACAGAATATATACTTTAAATGGGCCAACCCCTAAATGAAGGTTTGAAAATGATGTTTGCTGTCAACAAACGTTTTGTTCCGCTCACTGCAGCAATACTTTAGCTGCCGAAGTGAAAGCTGCCATGAACCATATATAAAGTAGTTTCTGGAGCCGTTGGTGGAACCTGTAGTCTGATGTCTTTGAAAGTCTTTTCACTGGCCATAATTCACCCCACTAGAGATTGCCGGGCATCACGGTAGTGGAAACATAGTGGCAACGGAAAATAGATGGAATCATTTTACCCAAGTAAGCATTTTGAACCTTTTTCTATTTTGAATTGCCCTGCACTCCGAGCAGTGTTCCTACAACTACTGATAGATGTAGGAGATGGCCTGCACAGTCCTCTTCTCCACAATACAGTACACATACGAGACACAACTACAGAGTCAGAAAAAGTGCCAAATGAGATAAGTTAGGTTGAATTGAATTGTCTCTTCAGCTGCATGCAAATCTGGTAACTGGCACTGGTGGTTCATAAATGCCAACTACTTTGCGATGTTCCACGCTGAAAGCTATCCAATGGCAATGCCGGAGATAACAAGCAGATGGAGAGATTGGGTGTGCAATAATTTAGTTATTTGTTTAACTCATCGTTCGGGGCCCAGGAAAACTCAGAGCTCCACTTTTGTACTTCCGTTGGGAGAAATGGCTCCCAGGTTACACCAGTAGCTGCTTCGCACTACCTACCCAACGCTGCTCGAGTAATTGTAGATCCGGTTTCATTAATTTCCTCGATTCCTACTTCTATAACTTCTTTAGTCCATGCAGATTAGTCGGAGCACATTTGCTGCATTTTTAAATTTACCTCTAGTATAACACATCACTACCCTCACCGGCACATCTTTTATCGCTTTACTCACAGTCCGGTGGTTTTCACCGCTGATTTTGTTCAGTCAGTCGCCTATGTCCTAGTGATTCACTCCAAAAACTAAGGTAAAATCAGTGTTAGGAAAATTCGATACCTCTTTTACACTCTTCCATCCATGGATTCCCATGTGTTCCACATACTCTCCGGCCGAGAGTTCCTCTCGCCGTGTGAGTAAAGCAGAAATTTACCGGAGGTGCAAAGAGTGAGCATCTGACTCAGAAAAAGGCCTTACGATTTGGTGGCAAATATGAAGGCACCCTAGTGACATGTCCTACAGAGTTGAGATGTAATCACTGCCAATGTCACCGTGAGTAATGATATGTCCTTTACCAAATCACTGTCACACAGCTACCCTCTGCCTGGCTGACTCGATTGGTGCTCATTAAGGGGAACAGAAATCATCGCCAATTTCCATCATATAAATCACTTTAATATACATTGGCAATCATGTGAATGGACGCAAAATCTTACTCCCACGATAGCTCCGCCACAGATTATGTAATTTGCTTCTAGTCCAGTGTCCTTATGAATACCGATAAAAATAGGAGATGGCTGGCACATTCCCTCATCCCCTAATTCAATCCTTGAAATGAAAGGACCCTTGATTTAGCAGTATTGCGGAGGTAGATAGTGATATTGCGGTCAAATATCTTCTCTGTTGTATGTAAATTCGATGACTGGCGCTGTTTGTTCATGGGCGTTTTCTTAAACTGCACGGACTATATTGTGATGGCTGATGCAGAAGACTGACCAAAGGGAGCAAAAGTCGAGAATGGCTTTATGTCACACTGAATACCTCTTTAACCCACCAATGTAATTTTTTGGTGGCGTAAGGCTCCGAATTTATACTTTTGTTGAGCACCACGCTCTACGAACTATGGCCATAGCCCTCAGCGATTCTGAAGGTTGATAATACATTGCGCTAGCACTATACCTACCTTGGTCTTCAGGGAAGTCTTAGGTGCTACATAAGGTCTGTATCATGAGAAAAGTGAGTAAATAGTTCGCAGCCTTATAGAATTTCTAAGAATTAGTCTTTTGAGATGGGCTTCTGCCCGGCTTTACGGAACCCGAGAATTATATCTGGGCAAGTGGAAGCTGGAACTGTCCTGCTGTTTAACCAAAAGACTCTAAACTGAGGTCCATTGTCAATCACTTTACTGTCACCAAATGTCATAGTGAATTACGCAGTAAAAATCGGCGGTGATTTCCACTCATCTCAGTCAACTTAATTCATCGCAATCAGGCAGAGGATGGTTGTGCAAGAGCGATTAAGAGAAGTCGGTGGCACGAGGGTGCCTTAGACTTAGACTTGGAATCAAATCATAACTCTTATCTCTGAGGCTAATGACCAACAAGTAAAGGACTCACATTTGAATTACATGGGTGTTGGAAGAAACACTTTCCTTTAACTTCTGCTTTCATTAAGCGGTAAAACGGATTCAGGCCTTGAGAGCGCTTGGCTGATGCCAGAGATACACGGCTGAACGAGTGCAAATCGAGACATCTAATTTGTCTAATGACAATTGACTAAAAGTTCAACGAAAATCACCATATGGTTGAGGATGGTTATGAATTCCACTAAAGGTGATTCCCGAAATGATACCACTGCACACTGGCCAATCTACATTGATGGAAGGCCACTTACTGCTTAACTGGCAAGGTGGCATTCAAGGTTGATTAGGGTGACCCGTATGACAATGATGTTTTTAGTTTTATTTAGATGCAAGGTATACAGTTAGAGCCGCTCAGAAGACCAGGTTTGTTAACTTGCCACCAAAAGTGACGCATATGAAAGACGAAGCCATGGCGTAGGTGTGCATTGTGCTCCACTCACAAGACATAACTACTGGCAAAACCAAGTCAATTAAATATCCTCATATTTCAATTTGCCCAAAGAAACATAACTTTTTAATTTGAACAGCAAAAGAATCTAGCTGACTTCATGCACCATAGACCCTCCTTCCATAGCGCATCAAACGATACATCGTGCTCCACATTCCAAAGGAATTTCCCAATCAGGC